GAATTCTTTCCATTCATTTAACCTGTTAAAATGATACTTAAGATCGCAACATGTGTTGCACAAAAATAAAATGATTTATTTTGCAATTCATTTATTTTACAATTCAATTAATTCCTATGATGCTAACTCCAGTCCTCAAAAATCATTCAAACATTGTCAATATATAAACAAGCAAACTATTAAAACTATATTATGAAAAAATTCCATCACATTTCAGAATTTTAATGCAAACTTTTATACACACACCCAGTCACCATGTTCCAAAACAAACAGCAAGCTGTGATTCTCCCAGAAACAGCGCAGGAAAAGAGCCTCTGACAGACAGCCGCATTTAAACATTCACTGATGTAACCAGACGTCAGAGTGAGTGAATGGGTTCCTGTGAGTCCTCTTGCTTTTTTTGAGAATGGATTAAATGAGTGTCTGTATGAAAACAGCCACACACGCAGCGAGAGGAGTGTAACTGCACATAATGACACTGCATTAGGCTGCTGTTTACCACTGACGCTCCCCTGCCGCTTCATTACGCAACGCTCACATTAATGACTGTAACTCACCCACTGTTCCCAGAACGATGTAGCCGAGGATGACGATGACGAAGATCACGCAGCAAAGCACGTCTGTGCAGCCCCTGCAGAGGGAAAGTGAGAAGAGTGGATGTAAGAGAGAGAATGAGAGCATTGCAGATTATATTTACATTCATTATGGCGTTTCAGTGTAAGCATTTGAGTTAGTTGCTCTGTATTAATCAAAAGTACTGAAATCAGACTTTTAGCATCACTGTGAGACATCTGTCTAACAACACAGCATTAAAAATAAATATGTCAACATGATGCACAGTATCATTCAAACAACATCTAAAAAACATCTTCCCCATTATGTAGTTCTTAGTGTGCCCCACACAGGTGAGCGGAATAGACAAACCACCAGTAGAAAAGACTTTCAGCTCTCTAACACAAAACCGACACTTGGATCTCCACCAGACACTTTCTTTCTAAAAAAAAATTTAGATTTATTATCTGCTTCAAACAGGTGAGTGGGCTTGACTCTTCTCTTTATTAACCCCACCCCACTCTCCCTATTCCAGGACTTAATTCTTTGAGCACTAACAGTTCCTTTGTATAATTAGCACTTCTTGTGTGTATTGCTTCTTCTTGTTGAATCGCTGAATGCCTCCCCAATCGTAAGTTGCTTTGGACAAAGTATCTGCTAAATAACTAAATACATATAACCTGTATTTGGCAATGTTTTCCTTGACTGAACCCAACAAAACAGACAACCCCAAAATAATTATTAATATTTTATGATTTAATATCCAAAATAAATTAAAGAAAAAAAATTAAAAAACATCAATAATGACCTGGCTGGACCTGGAGTATGGAGTTATGTTAGCGACACAATTCTGTAAGTAAAAATGAGGGGGACGTAGAATATCTCAATGAAGATATAATGCAGTATGTAAGATCAACACCCTGCAAGGTTGAACTAGGTATGGCACGCCTGGTTCAAAACACACATAAGCACAAGTTGGCAGATTGACAACACAAACAGGAGTGAGCCTGACTATCAAGCCTGTTCTAAAATAAAAGCAACGGCATGCCATAGAAGGAATATTTTCCAAATGAACACCTGAAATTTATATTTTAGATATGCTTCTACTTCTTGCAGTTGAACAACTGCAAGAAATAAAACAAGGATAAACTGGCAATGATCACCTCAGGTACACCTCACGTGCTTTGTTCAGTGTTAAATGCTAACAATGTGAGTTTGAATGCCATTTTACATGACATTTACTGCCATACTACTGAAAGCAGCAGCAGATTGTTTAACGTTACCTCAAAGCTTGATAATAAAACAAACTGTTTGAAATTGAACTTTAGAACTGTATCTTAAAACCAACACATATCAGTGATTCAGCATGTACATTAATAATGTTAAAGTGGTTTAATACGTGTTATTTAGATTATAAACCTTACTATTTTACTGGAGTGCAGTAAGTGCACTATTCTGAGCTTCTGAATGACTGTATTTAAATTTCTGTCATGTTACATCTAGTTCAGGTAGCCAAATTGCTTATCACTGTAAATCTCATCACGTAGTGTGTTGTTAGGACACAGGGTTACAATGTAACCTGCTCACCTAATGTTTACATTCATAATATTTATATTACGTTTCATTTCGGGGCTGCTACTGTCCACCAGAGGTCGCATTTTGGTCACGGGTATCTGCTTTAATAATTTAAAGTAATTATTTTACTTTAATTTTTTTTTTTTAATTCATAAAACAGTAACTATTATTTTGGGGTTGTCAGTTTTGTTGGGTTCAGTCAAGGAAAACATTGCCCAATACAGGTTATATGTATTTAGTTATTTAGCAGATACTTTTGTCCAAGCTTACTTTGAAAGCCTTCCTGACTGAATAAAAAAAATATGCGACATGTGAGACACATTTTGAAAGAAGAATTTTTCCCTGCTGACTGACCCCATCGGAACAGACCTGTGACCCATTTTTAGGGGCCGACCCACTAGTTAAAAGCAATTGGTCTACATTTCAGCTTTGCAGACAGAGAAAATGAGGCTGAGGTCACAGCAGGGCAAAAATAAGATTAGCAAATGTGCTGCATCTCCATTAACATATCACCTTTTCAAAATAGTTTGCAAAAAAGATAAGGAGGGGCTCAACATTTTGTTTTAGCATCAGTGTTGCAATATGTATATTTGCATTGGTCACATAACAGGATGTTTTATATCAAGTACAGATAGAGGTCAGAGACCCGACAGTCACCGCAGTTCAGAACACATGTGATTTGTGGATTAACTGCAAAGTTTAAATCACATACAGAGAAAAAATTCATCCCTCTCATTAATGCAATGACTAAAATCTGAAATAAAACAAGAATGCAAGCTAAAGAAATATATTTGAAATGCAAATAAAAATGCAACACTTAAGACACTATAAGACACAAGTAAAATTTAATACATAACAACTAGGCATGGGACGATAACAGGTTTCAAAGTTTACCATAGTTTAGAAAGTCAAGGTTTTAAAACAGCTAAAATTTTCTGTTATACCATTGTGCCAATGGTATATACAAGATTTTTTTTTTCCTATTTTATTTTACTTTTTTAGGGCAACAGATTCTCCAGCAGAAAAGGCCCTCCACATTAAGAGTGACTGGTCAGTGCACTATTAGAGAAAAACAAATCACTTTTTGCAGTAACATCCAAGCATGCTGGACATGAACAGTGCAGTGGTTTACTTTATTTCCAAAGAAAAGAAAGATATCCAAAGATGCCTTTTAAGTTGTTTATGAAACTAATGAAGATAGCACATGTCAATCATTTTATTTAATTAATTAGCCAGACATGCTTACTGTTCCAAAATATTTTAAATGTTTCTTAAGATAAAATATATACTGGTTGAATGAGGGAAAGTTACCGTTTTTATCCAGACATTTAAAAAAAAATAACATTTTTAAAGCAGCAATCACAATTTTGTAATACTGTGAAACCATGATATTTTTATCCAGGTTATCATGCAGTTACAATCTTATACCGGCCCATGCCTAATAACAACATTTAAAAAAAACTGAATAAAAAAAAACTTTCAAAAAATATAATCCATAAATAAAAAAAGATGAATGCAATGGCAAAGCTTACACGTCACAGTTTTTAAAATGTACCTAAATTATAAGCAACTGTGAACTGAAAGCTAATTAGTTAGCTAGATGCTAATGCAATAAAATGCAAGGAAGTCTTAGCATTACCAGCTTTACGATTTGATAATGTGTCCTTCCACTTGCTACAAAGTATGAATCACCAGCAAATTTACTTTTTATTATAAATTCATGTTAACTGATACACAGCCAAATGGTCCAGATCAGTAAACTTCAGTCTTGTGTACAGTAGCTCTCATCTGAGAAGAGGAGAATGATGGGGATGGTTTAAAGATTGTCATTTCAAATGATTGCTAAGCTACAAAAAAGCTACTGAGATTAAATGTTTTAATTCAAATGCTGTAATTTAGTTTAAAATATACATACTGTCACCCGGCGGATAGAGGACAATGCAGAGACTTTGGTGAGCAAGTTAAGGCAAAGGCTGAATCTGCTTGACTGTACTCAGAATTGAACTCCACTGTGTTATAAATGTGATTGTTTCTGTTTTTAATTGAAAGTTATAATTTAAAAAAAAGTTATAGTTAAGATGATTCAAGTGATATTTTTTCATTATTTTTTAAATATTATTAAATAAATTAGTAAATTACACACAGCTTTAATGTTTGATGTTTGGGATATTTATCTGCGGCCCACAACTCTCAATGATTTTTATTTTTTAGCCTGTTTTACAAAAAATTTGGGCACCCCTGTACTAACATAATAAAATACAAGGAAGTCATTGTCAGCTTTAATTGATTTTGTATCCTACGGCATGACACTGTATGAATCACCAGCTGACCAGCAAAATTACTTTTTATTGTGAATTTATTTTAACTGAAACAGCCAAATGATCCATTAAGACAGTAAACTTCAGCCTCATGTACAGTAGTTCCGACAGCACTAAACCAAATCTTGCCAACTCAAAGCACCCAGCAGGACAGCAGCAATGAGTGACTGAGCTTCTGATGTATAAACTACAAACCCACAGCCCCGTCAGTGTTCCCTGTGCTATATTTAATGCCGATCAACACAGACGGGAGTGGGTGTCTGCGCTGGGCCACTTTCACACAAAGGTACGGATCTGACACACTACTGAGAGTCACTGACATTTAAGGCAATACAGCTTGGGTAATTTTTTTAGCAGGGAGTGTTAATGGACTGAGGAAAAACTGGCCATCTAAGAATAAAATATGGGAGGGGGGCTTAAATGTATTGTATAATCATCCAAAAATGAACATACAGTCAATATTTACTCACACTGGTTTCGTTCCAACAACAAACTCTGTTATTTTTATATTGGTTATATAAAAAAAGAGCCAAGACTAGAACTTTTCTGATCCCAAATCTGCTGCAAGGAGATGTGTTTCTAACATTTGCATTCTGTCATTTAAATTGATGGGAATAACAGCAATACAAATCAGTACTAGCAGCGATACTTTTTTCAGTAACAGGTGATGAAATTAATTACTGTTTCCCCCATTACAACGCCGTTATGACAATAAAATGCGTGTTAATTAAGAGCACTGAAGCAGTTTCCATGCGAGGAGCCTCTTTCTCTGGGGTGGGTGTGTGTTTGGGGCTGGGGCGGGACACATAACCAACCAGTGATGATGATTGGTTTGTCTGTGAACGTGGTGTAACTGAAAACGTGATTATTGGCTTAGATAGAGTACATTTCCATCATTTGCCCATCAGAGGCAGAGTAGCTCAAGTATTCACACACAAGCACACGCACAGTCAGTGTGACATACACCAACGACCAAGAGTCAAAACGATGGCAAATCCAAAATTCAAAGATAGCTTTTGCAAACTGAAAATAGAAGCAGTGTTTTCCTTCATTTCCCCTGTTGAAAGTTTAAGTATGACAAATTAGATTTTTTTTAGGTAACGCAATAGTTACTTTCCCTGGTAATTAGTTACTTTTATAGTTGTGTAACTCAGTTACTAACTCAATTACTATTTGTGAGAAGTAA